CGAAGCAAATGCTCTCTCAGCGGACCTTGTACTAGACCTTCAACACAACGGATACGCACTAAGTCTTCCCGTGCCGAGGTGTCCAAAGCCGGAAAAGCCTGTACAGCGATTTGTTGTAGAGCATCTAGGTATTCTATCGAGCTCTCGGCGGATTTCTGGTTACGCGCTAGAAACTGCATAGTAACGTGCTCTGTGTCCACGGCTGGAAAGAAACAGTCATCCAGTATTTTCCAATTTCGAGGCAGCAAGTTATGCAGGGAAAAACCATATGCAGTTACCTTCTTTACTGATTCATCACTCAAGAAGGAAATGAGGTAATCATAATGTGCTGAAACAGGTACTTGGTGTGAGTATGCTTCTACCCTGATCATCTATACAGCGTGATCAGACGAAGTTTCTAAAAGCGGTGATGGAGGTGACTACTAAAAAACTCAAACCAAGCTCCGACGAACCCACAGTGCTTCCATCCAAGGCAACATCCAGCCCTAGCCCCCGTGTTGGGTAGCCCACTCGCGGCACTTCCTCAGACATTCTTGTTCCATTTTCTCAAACACTTTCTCTTGCCAGCACGTAGCAAACCGTCAGCTATAGTGTAGTAAAAATTGCATGCTACAAAATAAGATGACAAGCCGGCAAATGAAGAGACATCCACGGACTATCTCCGATAACCGATTCAGTTGTCATTGATTTGAAGTCCTAGTGCGCGAGTTGATAATTCTCCCTTGAGCTGCGGAAACAGAACTTAGATGCTTTGATAAATGGGTTCTCGAACCGACGTTCCTACGAAAGTCGATTCTAGGGGGAAGCTAATGTAACAGCTTAGGTTGGTTGGTTAAGAGTTGATCTCAAGCAACTAAGGATATATCAAGACAGCATAGTTCAGATATTTATTCACTTCTTTATTTTGTTTAGGCGTTATATTTCTAATTATCTTATATTGTATGTTGAGAGGTTTTGTTTGTCTGAGTAAAGAATCCCACGCTCCACTGTGACTGCGCGAAGATCAAAATAAAGATCTATTTTCCTACGAGTCTGGTTTTTATTAATAACGTGAGGGTTACCATAAGGCACGGAAAGACCATTTTTCCCATTTTAGTCCCTCGTCGATGGACTTGTTCCAGCACATCTGCCTCATACTTAAAACAAGAACTCGTTGCGTGAATCTCATATTTCAAATACGGTCTCACGTAAGTCGTGTATAATAATTTAGGCATTTTTTCGTTTAAACACTGGAAAGACCTCCAAAAAGACCTTGATACCCTATAGCCTTTTGCAGAGGCAGGCTTACGGTTACTCGTGGTTTTGGGATCGTCACATATTGTGTCTCCCAAATCTTAACAGTTTTGTATTTTGGGTGGCACGGATCCATGTGTTGTGTAGTAATACAAACCATCATGATTACTAAATTGCATCACCACACTCTCGTTAGAATTCACATCTGTTGACCATCCATACCACCATTGAGATGAAATCATCGTGTAATACTATTTTATCTGACATACAGTGTATGGGTCTCCAAATCTTTATGTCATCGGCGAAGTGTAGAACAGATGACTTCACTGCTGTTTATAATTTACCTACATAAAGCAAAAAGATAGTAGGTCAGAGCATTGTGTCTTGAGGAACTCCAAATTCTATAGGTTCCCACGATCAGCGAGCTCCATTTACCTATACACTCTCCTGCCATTGAGAAAGTCACTTATAAAATAATTGACCTTATAATAGTTTCCAATCCTTTACAGTTTCAATTTAAGACCCGGACGCGTGACGTTATCAAAGGCTTTACTTAGATCTATGAAAATTACATCAACAGGAATATTTCGATCTTTCTCCGCAGCAAAATCTTCTGTTGCAATGAGAGAATTTGTCAAACATGGTAGGCTTTTCTGGAAATCATGTTGTTCCCTTGATAAGAGATTATTCTTCCACATAGTTTACAACAGCCGTCCGAATAATCATAGCGTTAGTTTCACGACTGCGTGGGTTAGACTAACGGGTCGATGTTTAGTAAGTCCCTACTCCACTCCTTATACACCGCACTAATTATTGCGCCTTTTCAGTCTCTTGGTAGTCTGAACTGCCGCACAGACATATCAAGCAGTATGGCTATATGTTCGGATTATTATTTCGGATTATTTTTACGATCCCTAACCCATTGTTTTTATATGATCGTCTAGTCTTTCTTATAAACCGGTTGAGATGAGAAAATTCCAATGCTCTTTCTTACGTCTAATAAGATTCTTGATTTGATGAGTTATACATAGTGGGCATTTATCCCTGTCTACGTAGTACCAGGCATGGTACGTACCTGAAATAAACTTGACTTTAAATATGGACCATGCATTTTCAACTGATGAGCTAGTATCTACTGACGATCTATCTTAGCAGCGCACTCTTGAATGGCTGATATGTCAGCTCTCCATATATTTGGGCGAGGCTTAACCTGGTCGTACATCAGTAGCTATTCATCACAGGTGAAAGACTATTTAGGTTGGCAATATCCTCAGTCTCATGTGGGATTACCAAGTCTAACAAAGAAGAAGCACCAAGACGGATGCATGCTGTACTAATCCATGCTCCATTACCGTTATCAGAAGCCTGCTATCAAAGGAGTTTTTAGATGCTACCCTCCTCATCTCAGTCCAACTAATAACATATTCATTAAAGTTTTCTAATATCAAGCATCTGTCATTTGCACTGAATGTGCTTTAAAATAAAGTCATCAGCTAGGCAGACTGGGCTGCGATAGATGACACCGAGTATAAATGTACAACATCCGATAATGAGTTTGAAGTGGCATCGGGCCCTAACCACACACTCCGGAATTCGAACACCAGACAACTGGAAAACTAGATATTCAACATTTAACGCGGAGAAAAAATCCCAACGATGGAGAAGGTGGGGAGGAGGAATTGAACTAATTCGAGTAAATAAGATGGCACGACTTGGCATTGCAGGCGTGTTCTTGTTGAATGTTACCTTATATCTTTTACTCATATTAAATGTATTGTTCTATCTGCAGCCTGAATGTGTTACCCATCATAGACTGGTAATTGTTGCGAAACGATGAGTCAGTATAGACAATGATGTGACTTCCACGTAAGCTCGTATGGATTAGGTATTTACAGCATGACAAACCTACAAGTTTAGGATTAGGTTTATTATTAGAGCAGCACTAATATCGTGGTAGTTCACAGTTAATGACTTCTCAAGTTCCACTGTCATGGGATTCGCAAGTAAAGAAGCTTTGTAGAAAAAGACTTCACCTCCTTTCCCACATTTATGTCTTAGGTAGTTGTATCCATGTGATTCTGGAGTGATGGTCAGGGATTAACCAAGCTTCTGTCACAGCTACAATGAGGAGTCTTGATTTATCAACTAATGCTCCTATACCACATAATTTCTTTCTTAGGGAGAACTGCCTATCCACATAGGTCTTGGTAGTAAACGCTTCCAAAACCTGACTATTAGAAAACCCGCTTATCGGAGATTTCCCCACCACCTTGTCGATGGGTTTCTAGATCAGCCTGTACCAACTTCCTTTTCATAATATTTTCGACAGACATATCACGTTTTACTCGAACGTCGGCATTGTTGTGTATACGAGCGCTACTTAACAGAAGGTCACGTTGCTTCTACGACGCTAGGATTACTTTAAGGAATCTATCTGATCGAGGTTCAACATTTTCGTTGGTCTTTTTACCTCTTTTTATCAATTTTTTTTATCTGAACTATTTTAAATTTATCTGGTAAGATGCTATCGATAAATTCGAGCTTTTCTAAATAATGCTTGCGCCTAATTTTGGGATCAGGATCGTTTGGCTCCAGCAAATTACTTGAAATAATATTCGATGAGATTAAATTCTTCTCTTCCACGGCAGTATGAAGCATTGTTTTACTATAAGAATTTGGTAGTGTACTTTGTGACTTAGAATGAAAGTTCATCAATGACTTACCAACCAAGTGTGTAGCACCTATAGGTTTTTACTTTTCAATTTTTCTCCACAATGCCGTCTATTTTTAATCGCTCAGGACAGCCACAACGGAACATTTATACTTTCATCCGGTTCTTCAGTTTTTACGGGAGAAGCATGATTACTCATGTAAATATCAAGTGGCATTTTAATATTCATTAGTTTTAACGGGGATTTTACTTTCCTATCAATCAGAGTCGGGTGTTTAATGCGTCTCATAACGGAATGTATTACACTGACACATTCTTTACTGTCAGTACTCGTTTTACTAAAGCAATCAACATCTTTCTTTTTACAGGTTAAGGCTAGGAGGTTCATAGCCTCCTGGACCAGTAACGTCTTCGTCAAGTAAAACATTCAAAGCCGTTGCGAGTTAGGCTTCGACCATCTTTTGGGACTTTAACGGGTAAACATCTTATGGAACTACGTTTTGCCCTCATCACATCGCATCCCTTCTCCCATGGGAAATAAACAGTTCGGCTATCAACATTATATCGCAATCAAATTAATAAGGTTCAAAGCACTATATGATTTCATTATAAGTACAAGTGTCATAGTCACTGAGAAAGTACCATAAAACAAAGTTTGACGAGGTTTCAAAGCTTGATCAAGAAAATGCAAGTGAAAGAAAACCAAGAATGCTTTTTGATGCAACAAGTACAAAAAAGTAAAGATAATTACAATAACTAAATCATTGTTCTTTTTAAAACTAAAGGGAGAACCAATTTACATTGCATTAAAATCACCAAAGAATGGCACTTAGATCACCATGTTTTAGTAAATACAGAACTACAGCAGTCGTCAAGCTTCTTTTCCGAAAGATTCACGAAAATTCGCCATCGCCATTGAAAGATATGGGATTTTGATTGAGGTTGTCAATCATGAAATTATTTTGGAACGAAATGAAATATTTCTATCGGTTGAGAAAATCATTCTGACTACCATTATATTTCAAGGAAAAATATTTCGCGATTTATAACTTAAGGACTTTAAATAATGTGGTGGCGGGTTTCCCGATAAGAGTACGTTTTAACGTGGCGGCAGGTTCACTGTTCGCGTTTGTTATCTTCCAGGTTATATTGAATCATTTCACATCGATATTACCTCATCGTTGAGAGTTTAGGTGTCTTTTCTGATTTATATCTTTCTTTACTATCGTTGATTTATTAGTGTTCCCGATGTACTTATAGCTATAGTTAAGAAATACAAATATATTTGCTAAATTTTCAAGTAATCTTACGGTGTTTGCTCAAAAATTTAAAAGTCCACTTTACTTCAATGTGTATACTAATCGACACTCGCTGAGCTGTTATTTAAAAGGTTTTTTTCCTCCTGGGGAAAAGTGGCCATTTCTCCAAAATTCCTATGGAAATTGCAACTTCACCAAATGTCTCATACGCACTGTAAAACATCTTACTTTCTACACTGTTGACATGATCAGTTGAAGTGTTTAGTTTACGGTTAACTGGAGAATGTTTATTTATATTCGATGATTTTGTTATTTGATTATATTTTCTTGAAGAAAGTCCAACTAGTTTGCCGGGCGAAATTTTGGGTTTATTTTTAGTTCATTCGCTAAAATTTTTACGAGTATAATTTTCCTCTTTAATGTGGTAGCTAATTTTGAAATAATATTTTTAAGAATTGAAGCGAAAAAGTCTTCGTCTGTCAACTTAAGCCGTTTGTTTTATGAATAAAAATTATATATTTGTAATATCCCAGTTTATTTGAAATTGACAAATCAAACCTTGGTAATGATACCTATATTTCTTCTATGGTCAGTTAATACTGGGTAGCCTTAACCTTTTGACCTGTGATTGCCTGCTAACCGTAAATTTTGGTTCAGTAAAAGACAGTGTAGGTCTCGATTCATGTAATGTCCACCTATCTTCACTAAGCACCAATAGAACCCAAAGAATCAATGAAACAGAAGGCAGTGGGTTCGAAACAAATGTAAATTTTTTTTGTCTTTATTTATTTATTTAAACAGGTAAACATTGGTGCAAGGAGTCACCAAACAGATATGCGCTACATAAATCATTCGATCTGCGTGAGGGCTGGGATACTGCCCGGGCACCCAAACAGAAGCTTCGATTAATATTTTATAAATGGATGATTAAGTTTCATGCAGCTTCTAATCGCTAGTGGTTATTTACTCTTTAGTGAAACAACTAATAGTACTAAGCATTAAACTCTCATCCACGGATAATGTTTATTTTGAGGTTATGATGCTTTGAAATGTGTTTCGATGTTCATTTGTTCTATCTTGAATCTGCGAAACTAATATGTAAGATAATTCTCTTTTTATGGTACTGATGAGGGTTTTTTCCAGTTTTTAAAATTGATGAGTTGATCAACAGTAAATTTATGAACAATTTGTAAGCATTTTAATTTATGCACTAATGGACTTGTCATAATTCGTCTGGTACGACTACAGTACTATTTCGAGAGTGTGATTTAAAAACTAACATTTGTCTCTTTACAGGTTTTCGTTTTCTGAAGCTAGTGATTAGAAATCTTTCAAATTCATTTTGATGCCTAGCAAACTTTCAGTTTTCACGAATGTCGTTAGGGGATTGAGGTAACGTCTGTTCCATTTATATACACAACAGTAGTTCTCATTGGGACCATGTTAAACTTGGGCCTCCAGATGCAATTTTGGGAATTACCGAGGCATATAATCGTGATACCAATCCTCAGAAGATTAATCTGGGGGCTGGTGCCTATAGAGATGATAATGGGAAACCCTTCGTCTTGCCATCTGTCAAAGAGGCTGAATCACTATTGTTGGCGAAAAATTTGAATAAAGAATATGCTCCAATCAGTGGTATCCCTCAATTTTGCGATCTGTCCATTAAGCTTGCACTTACTGATCAGTCTTCACGAATCAAAAATCGCTGTGTAAGTTTGACTGTTTATTCCCTTTGTTTTCACTTTTGGGGTTTGTTAATATTAACTCGTCCTATTCAATTCATTGATATTATTGTATTTGTAAGTTAAGTTAAATGCAATCTTGTACATATTTTAATACTCAATTAGTTGAATGAATTTAAACTTTAAAGTTTGTCTTATGCGTGCTTGGTATATCGATAAAATTCTGGTTCCAGATGTTTTTCGCTTTGCAATACTTTACTAGTTTTTAAAGCTGAATATGTCACATATATCAATGTGAAATATGTAAAAAGAAATGTCGAAATCTGATCTAACTAATAAACTGGAATATCGCCAGGATGGTGACATGGTTGCAGAATTAGATGTAGGGAACGATGTATGTAAAATGTTACTGTTTTATCCAGCCATTTGTAAAACGGTTGGTAGAGAGCTTGAATGCTAATATCTAAAGCATGTATTAAATTTTGAATGCAATACATTTTTTGTCTACACTTAAGCTTACATCTCTATTTAGTGTAAACACTAGTTTCAATCGTGTTATATACTCCGCAGAAAAATCATTACACACAATAATACATAGATTTCTAAAACCCAGTATATTTCGGTTCAAAGTAATTCCTCAACACATGCAAAATATTTAGTGTTCTATGTGGGTAGCTATGGGAATTAATTTACTTCATGTTTTAACTGTAAAGAGACGTGAAATAAATTTTAAATTCAAGCTAAATAAAACACGTAATGACCTGGACCATATAAAACTTTGATCGCAAATATAGATGTTTAATTCATGTTGGGAAGTCTTTACATCCGTATAAAAATGAATTAAGACGTGTGGGTTTATTGTCTCCTGGAGAAACGTCTATCTTGTGATAATCAGTCATAATCAATATGAACTTTGACATAAATGGGGATTGGCCCGGGTTGCCGTATCATATACTCACAATATATGAAATTAATTCAATGAGTAGCAAAAAAATTAAAACCATGTAGTGGCTACAATAACAAAAAAATCAAACATTGACAACATGCTTCAAAAAGGCAGAACAAACAAGTATATATGTGATAAGTCTTCTGAGTGAACGCTACTTTGTTATATTTGGTCGTCGCTGATTGTTACGACGGAATCACTTATCATTTATACTTGTAAAGTAAGAAACCACTACAATTCCCACAATGCGAAAGTAAGAACACAAAGCCTAGTACAAGTGAAGATTTACTAACCCCAAAACACGATGATGATGACCCTAGTCGAAAATACATTCATTTATTTATTGATTCGTACACCCATTTTTGATTAATAATTAAAATAAAATCACATATATGAAACAACGCTTAGGGTTCTAACAAATCACATGCTACATGTCATGCTGAGCATAGTTCAGGTCAATTGAATACAAGAATATCATAATTTATACAGAATAAAATGTCATACGGGAAAGCGAAACAAATACTACACTGAGTAATCATCACATTGAATTGAAACGGAAGCAGTGTTGACCGGAAATCACAATGTAATTTTGACTTTTCATCCCGTTATATCAATTTGGAGGAATACTGTGACAGAAGACCACAAACTCTAATTTTAACTGTAAGTTATATTAGCTGTAGACTTATGATTTTTGTTGATTTCATATAAGATTAATGTCGTACTATGCCATTTTTATATTTTATTTAGAACGCTACAACTCAGACAATATCTGGTACTGGAGCCCTTAGAATCGGTGGAGCTTTTATCGTAGGTGTTATCTTTTCATTTTTGATAAAATCTTTTCAGAATGAATTTGCGGAACAAAAACATATATGGATGCCAACACCTACTTGGGGCAACCACAAGCCTATTTTCACGTAGGTTCACTATTTTTAGAAAATAATTATTTGTTATTGAAAGTCAATTTTTGATGTGAAAATGGTTCTCATTGTCGCAGAAAGTTATAACTTACATAGCTTTAACAGTTGTTGAAGGGTACGGCTGATGTGTTGCTGAAACAGTTCACTCGCTGTTAGCGTTTTCGGTCATTTTTGTATCGTTAAACTCCTACTTTTTTTTGGGTTAAATGGGTATATATATTATCAAAGCAGATATATAGATATGTTACTAATTGGTTTCTAGTTAATTAATAAGGAAATACAACAAGATTATGCTTTAAATTAAAGGTAGCAGAGTTTTACTACTTGTTTATCTTGTATTTTTATTCCTAAATACTTTGACAAAAAATCTATTTGTCCGTCTCCAACATATAAACAATTTAGTTTAGACAAACACTGAACAAGTTTTTTGTTTGGAAGTAATAAATCAAACTAATAAGGAACTCAATGAGAAAGTACACTGTTTTTTTTTACTTTCCTTTTAATCATATATATATATATATATATATATATATATATATATAACCTACTAATATAACCTACCCTGAAGAACCTATACTATGAAACGGTTCACTCTGTATTACTCCGTGGCCGTGAAACTAAAAGGTATGTATATGTTGCAAAATTTATATAATAGGTGCTCACGTACCGTGAAATGATAGGGCGGTATATGTTAAATTTAGGCATATGGTATTTAGCATAGATGGCAAGCCAGTTGACAAAGCAGTGAAGCTTCATCAACTATGGTTTCTGGGACGTTTGCCACATCTTTTTAGTCACTGCCTATCTCAATATAATGTTGGATGGTGTGTGGGTAGGTCGGAACAAAGTTAAAGGAGGCCAAATCTGACATTAATCTTTAAAATCATCGGCTACTTGTCTTAGCCATGTTGAGAAATTCAGACCGATCTTTTGGAGTATGTGCGTTAACCCTGATCAATAGATGGAGACTTCAGGTGATTGTGTCCAAGACTCAGTTACAACATCCCAGACACGTTCACACTTTATGCTGTTCTAGATCTTGACTCTCAGTATCTCTTCATACATATCTTTTGGTTCCATCTTTCTGAACCCCATTCTCAATGTTTAATTTTTCTAATTACCATCGCTAAAAATTATTTCCGCTCATTTTTATGTATCTTATAAATTTTATCTGGCTTCACTGATATGGTGTGACAACTTGGGTTAACATACAGTTGTCCTACGCTCTGGATTGATTATAACTTTGGAGTAATAGAACAGTGCCTTATTGGTTAAAGCATTCAATTTCCAACTACAATTGCATGTAGGATCAAACTTCACTTCATCTACGTCAATTTGTGTAGTTATGCAGTATCACTAGCCTCTACATAATCACTATAACCTTTAAGTCGATTGTTTAAACCCTATAACTTAATGAATAAATTGGATTATCAAGACATAGTTCTTAACCTGGAATCCATTGTCTAAATATCTGCTCTATTAGCCAGTGAACTACCGTCCCAAAAGAAATAAGAATTCATTTCTACGTAGATACAACGTGTATACAGTGTTTTTCTGTCAGAAATTACATGGTTTGGGAATACTTAGGGAGCTAACTTCCTTTGTTTGATAATTCTCTCGAATGATCATTTTGTATATGACTGTAGAAACGTTTATTTATTTTTAAAATATAGACATAGTGGACTAAATGTACACCAATATCGTTATTACAATAGTAATACTTGTGGTCTCGATATAGATGGTTGTTTATCTGATTTATCGAAAATTCCCAAAGGACATTTTGTTTTACTTCATGCATGTGCACATAATCCTACTGGAGTAGATCCGTCATTTGATCAGTGGCAGAAAATTGGAGAGATTTTGCAATCACGTGGTTTGATTCCATTTTTCGACTGTGCTTATCAAGTATGTTAAGAAAATTTATTAATATTCTATTTGTTGGTTTTAAACGGATTCGGTCTTTAGCTATATCCTAGCTGACAACCAACTTGATTGTGTTTAGTTCTTAATAGTCAATTAGGACGTATAACGGATAACTTAAATAAGTGCAATACGTTCGAAAGGATTACGAGATCGCCTAAAATCAGCCAACGGAACGAAGAATTAGTAACATAACAAGACAAGTTAAACTATTTACTGAGTCCCAGCCCTGTTAAATAGAGGAGGAAGACCAGATTCAGCCGAAGAGAAAGTACATTTCACAAGTGGTCAAAAGCACAAACAACAAACACAACTCAAGCTCACATATACAGTGTAAAAATGGCTTTGTGAAACGTCACAAAATAACGTATTAAAAGAGGAAGCGAATCAATGACATTTAAGGTCCTTCCAAGTGGGAAATACAAAGTGAAGTTAGAAGTGGGCGCTTCCAGTGCCAAAATGAGATTTCAATGGCGAGGCTATAATTTATGGACGAAAGTTAACAGGTCTTCAATTTTGGCGCGAAGTTCACTCATCCATTTGGCTAAATAACATTTTGGCATTATAGCTGATGTAAGTTCGTGATGAAAACCGTAAATCTAATTCCTAACCTTAACCATCAACTTTAAGTCATAATTCTAATTCCTCACACTGGTTTATAACTCTCATTTGGTCCTAGTTATTAGGTGGACACTCTCAAGGTCACTTTAGCGTCGCTCAAAGGTCTTCCATAAATTAGTCTCATCAATCCAACTTTTGAAAAATAAAATTATAAAAAAATGTTTACCATGTGATTTCTGGGGATCTAGCATCCTTAAAAATGTGGCAACATGCTGCTCTACTCTGTAATAATAATGCAATGTATTTTATGACAACAGGAGTTTATAATTCGAAATCTGACACTGGTAAAATCTACTTATCAGTAATTCGTACCTGTAATCGTATTGAAACCCCATGTCCTTTCTAAGAAATGTTACGACTGAGCTACTCAAATAACACTGTTGTATTTAGCAAATTTTTGTTTATCGAACTCAAAAGATTACGAGGGATCTTTGATTATCGATAACAAACTAATTTACTTGAAGTGTTGATCTATACCAACTGTATTTCTCATAAACATTGAGAGTTGATCAGACTTGTTTTAAACATCTCATTTTTGTAAAAACCAGTTGTCAAGGTTTTTTTATGAATACAAGTTTGTGGAATGAATCAGGTTCTCAATTGTTGGGATGAATAGATAAAATGCTAATTGATGAATGAAATGTAATGATACAATGTCACCAAGTGATGTTTCCTCATTGACCAAAGTATTGATGTAGGTTCTCAGTTGGTGCAATATCAGAAGACAAAATATCTGCGCAGTAGAATAAGTTTTTTCTAACAAAATAACGCTGGTACACAAAGTTGCGAACATAGAAATAACCGTTGGTATAAAAGTCATCTGACATATTTATGATTCGAAAATATCCCAACTCTGTAGTTTGATGATTGTCTACGGATCAAGCTTAATTCTTACTCAGTTAGATCGAAACTTCAAGATCACATTTATACGCCCAAAATCTCTAAATAAGATATGTGACAAAGGTTATACAAAACGTTTAATAATTATGAATTTCTTTTATTTGCATAAAGCCCCCAAATCCCCTGGTATGGCCGAGAGTGGGGAGAGTCCGCTCTCCCTCTCGAAATGCTCTCACATGGCCAAGCGTATACGGCCTCTGCCAGGGAAGTCCTACTCACTGCCTTCTCATGGCAGGGGTGTTGTTTACGAAAATGAGAGGACGAAAAGCGAATGTCCGGCGCTTTAACCGGATCCCAAATCAATGGTACACATGGGCTCCAGTATCCTGAAGGAACAAATGGCGTATGAACCAATCGTTGGTTGCCAGCTACTATGGGACTGCATCTCCTTACGATGCTCCACTGCCTTGTGGATCAGACGTTCAGGTTGAAGATTCGGAGTGTGGCCCCCTAAGAAAACCACCTGCTTCGGTTTGGGCACCCGGGCAGTATCACAGCCCACACACAAAAACTTGATGAACAGTCTACTAATGGAAAATATTCTTTTCGCCCCGATTAACAATCAAATAACTCGCATTATTATTATTATTATTATTATTATTATTATTATTATTATTTACTACGTCATTTATTCACTCCCTTTTATTCCCACTCTATCTATCCTTATTGTTCGACTTATACAGCAGCTCGCCTATGGTGGAAATTCGGCTCTATCTAAACGTTCTCGAGTCACTGCCTGGTTGAATATTGTATGCTACCACCGAATACGAGTACTGAAGCAGTTTTTCTGAAACCACGAGCACCATTTTAAACTGGCTGCCTTCAACGTTCGCACACTTATGCAGGTCGGACAACAGATAGGGCTGGCTATGTCTTTGGAAAGTCTTAATATTGATGTGTGTTGTCTATCCGAGACCCGTATTCAAGACTCTGGTGAAGTACTACAAATTCGCTCTCCATCTGTCACTTCAAAAAGCTTGTTTTACGTGCGTTTATCCGGGGACACTCTGGCATCTTCGTCTGGTCTTGCTGGCGTTGGTGTCGCACTAAGCGCTAGAGCTGAGGCAACACTGATCGATTGGATCCCCATTAACAGTCGGTTATGTGCTGTTAGATTAGAAAGTACCACCAAAGTGAAAAGAAATCGGCGTGAGAAACGATGCCTTTTCGTCATCTCTGCCTATGCCCCGACAGATTGCAGCCCGAATGCAATCAAAGATGAATTCTACCACCAGTAAACTGTTCTTCTCCAGAAAGTGCGTTCGACAGATATTGTAGTACTAGCTGGAGACTTGAATGCTCAGGTCAGGCGTCTAGGCACAGAAGAGAGTCGTTTAGGTGGCCAATGGGGACTCGTTAGTCGCAGGACAGATAACGGGGAACGTCTACTGCAACTATGCACAGATCACAACCTGTTTCTGGCTAGCACTAACTTTCGGCACAGTCATCGCCGATGTGCCACCTGGCGTCCTCCTTCTGCATCTCAAGCCTGGACTCAGATTGATCACATCGCGATCAGCTACTGCTGGCGTGGTTGTGCACAAGACTGTCGCTCCTTTTGGAGTACCTATCTGGACTCTGATCATGCCCTGGTCTGCGCTAATCTTACCTTACTTTTCAGTGGCCAAAGAATTAATCGTCATAAACGGATTGATGTCAGCAAGTTGGTTGCAACTTCTGTTGCAAGTAAGTATCAAACCGAGTTAGCTTCTAGGGTAGTTACCGTTCCACCGAAAGGTATAGATAAGCATTGGTTGCAATTGCATGACGCCATGAAAATGGCGAGTAAAGTCACTTATGGGTTCGCGAAACGTCCCGCTAATACGTACTGGGTTTCTTCTGGCTCCCTACAACTGATTGAAGCCCGTCGGTCTACTCCGGATGACCGAGAGTTTGACCACAGACGAAGGATGTTACGTAATGAAATCGGGCAAAGCTTGCGTAAGGACCGAGAAGCCTGGTGGTCGGAGCGTGCCAGTGAGTTGGAAGCAGCAGCTGCATCTGGTAATTACCGGAAGCTCTTCCAACTCATCCGAGCCACTGGCAGCAAGAAGTTTGGTGTGAGCGAAACAATCTGCGAGGATGACGGAACGCCAATCACTAACATCCATCGACGTCTTGGACGATGGGCAGAATTCTTTGAAGGGCAGTTCAACTGGCCTGCTGCTCCGGCAACATCGGTCAGACTGTCCTGCCCTCCATGGCCGGTGACGACTGATCCACCAAATGAGGCGGAAGTCCGCAAGGAACTCCAACTCTTGAAACGTTACAAATCACCGGGCCCAGACGACTTACCTCCGGCTCTTTTTAAAGATGGTGGTGACTTTCTGACTAAGGGACTGACGACGTTGTTTACAAAGATCTGGGAACTAGAGAGTGTACCGACGTCATGGAATGAGTCGATAGTTGTCCCTATCTTTAAAAAGGGTTCACGTTGTTCCTGTAACAACTATCGGGGGATAAGTCTACTTCCGATTGCGTCCAAGCTATTGGCTTCCGTCATACTTCGTAGGTTGTTCAGGACCCGAGAAGGATTGACTCGCGAGGAGCAGGCTGGGTTTCGTTCTGGTCGAGGATGTATTGATCATATCTTCACCCTCCGCCAAATGTTAGAACACTGCCATATTTATCAAAGGCCAACAATCGTAGTGTTTCTTGACATCAGGGCTGCCTTCGATTCGTTGGACAGAACTGTTCTCTGGGATTGTCTATTGAAGAAGGGTGTGCCTGAGAAGTTTATTAACATCCCAAAAGCCCTATATACAAACACCTCAGGCAGAGTGAGGGCATACAACCACCTTTCTCCACTATTCCATTCGAGCAGTGGGGTTAGGCAGGGTTTCCCAATCTCACCATTCCTCTTCAACTTTGCCATCGATGATATTCTGGAAACAGCTCTGATGGATGTAAGTAATGGTGGTGTGGATCTGTTGCCTGGAGAAAGACTTCTCGACCTTGAGTATGCGGATGATATTGTCTTACTGTGCGAGAATGCCCAAGCTATGCAATCCGCACTTAATCAGTTGGCAATCAATGTCCGTAGGTATGGTATGTGCTTCGCACCTTCGAAGTGAAAAGTACTCCTACAAGACTGGCAGGATTCTAACTCTGTACTCACTCTGGACGGTGAGCAGATAGAAGTGGTCGAGAAGTTCGTGTATCTAGGTAGCTGCATAAGTGCTGGTGGTAGTGTGAGTGATGAGATCAATGCACGTATAGTGAAAGCCAGAGCGGCTTATGCCAATCTGGGCCATCTTTGGCGCCTTCGTGATGTTAGTCTGGCTGTAAAAGGTCGGATCTACAACGCGACGGTGAGAGCAGTTTTGCTCTATGCTTGTGAAACCTGGCCTCTCCGAGTTGAGAATGTTAGACGACTCTCTGTGTTCGATCATCGCTGTCTCCGTAGGATTGCTGGCATCCAGTGGCAACACCATGTTAGTAATGCAGAGGTTCGGCATCGTGTGTTCGGTCACAGAGACGATAATGCAATTGGTGTCACCATCTTGAAACACCGACTTCGGTGGCTTAGACATGTTTTACGAATGTCGTCCCAGAGAATTCCTCGTCGTACATTATTTGCCGACCCTGGGACTGGTTGGAAAAAGCGGAGAGGTGGTCAGTATATGACATGGTGTCGTGGTATGAAAAAAAGATGCAAAGAGCTGGCTTCTGTTGGTCCTTCACGACTCCCTGGCTGGGGTCCAAGAGATGGTGTAACATTGTGGCTAGAGACGTTATCAGATATGGCTCAGAATAGAAGCCAGTGGCGATCCTGCTGTAACCTTTTACTTACCTCGTAAAGAGTGGTTGCTTCTCCCTTAACTGAAAGATTTCTCCTGATTGTACCTTTTCGTTTCCCCCATTATTACTACCATTACACTACCTTTCACTAATCTGGTCGTTATTGTTTTTTTCCCTTCTCTTTAAATTCCTCATTTTTTTGTGTGTGGCGCATATATATTTGATGCTCCTTGTACCAATATTTATGTGTTCAAATAAATAAATTTGCATAATACACCCTTTGTTGCATGTAAGAACGTTCAGAAACTCCGATCCAAGCACGTTTATTAATATATAGGATTATTTATTGTAATATCCATTGTTTCTATTTCCTAATGTTTATCGATTTATGTTTCAGGGATTTGCCTCCGGCAATATTGATAATGATGCAAAAGCAATACGTTATTTTACCGATGAATTGAATTTCCCCACCATATTACTTACACAAAGTTTTGCTAAGAACATGGGACTATATGGTGAACGTGTTGGTGCTTTCACTTTACTTTGTTCATCTTCTGATGAAGCCGAACGTTGTTTGTCACAAATTAAGATTATTATTCGACCAATGTATAGTAATCCACCGATTCATGGCGCACGTATTGCAACGGAATTAATGTCTAATCCTGATTTACGTCAAAAGTGGTAAGTTAGTGTTTTTCGGACTTCTGCCAGCAAATGCCTTGTTTTATTTCCAAGTGATTTATTTATTATTAATAATATACAAAGTTTTGTAAATTATTAAATACAAGGTTAACGGGTAAAGTTATGAAAAAATTAGACAAGAGACAGATCATACAGTTAATGGATAAACAAAACAATCAACATGAACTTTATTCAGTTGGAATAACCATATTGATTCAATAAACAATGCAGTAATTGATTATTTCAGGTTTCTTTTTTCTATTCCGAACCATATCTGGTCACATCAAAAAGTACGATGTTGTGTGTTTCTAAGATATTCTATCTAGGAACTTGGTATGGACTAACAGTAGTCAGTTCAACACAGGTATTTTTCATCTCATGATGGCATATTCTACACTGACCGCCTGTGTTTTCTATTTAAGTCCCAGCACTGGTAAATAATGGATGTTGTAGAAGCTGTTGAGATGGAAATTGCAAAATATATCCGAGCCATGTGGAGTATGCTACTTATGTCTGTCGACACAAGTAGTATGTAACACCAACCAGAGGTGTAATGTCTGGCAGCAGAAGGTTGAAAAGGTCGAATTGAGGATAATACAAATGTAAACAGAAAGTAATTGTAATAACAATAAAGGGGCGGTGAAGTTTAAAACAATTGATGGAAGATTTGCATATGAAGTATTTAATCTATGGCTTTTCACAATTTACGAAAAAAAAACTTATTTTACACTAAATAATAAATCGGTTATCCCAACTTGAATGTCCGTTCACTACAGTAACATGTATAGAATAATCTATCCAATTACATCTGAAATCACATTTCTGAAACGCTGAAACATTTACTCAGTATTATCGCCAAATATGAGTAGTTCTTTGGAAATAACGATGATGGAAGTAAAGTCGGATGTTATTGAAACCCAAATTAAGTGTTGTACGTTATTTCATACAGCCGAATCCTGAATTACTATGATACCCATTTGAGCATCTATATTGTACAAAGCCACCAGTTTATCATGAACGGTAACAGCAGCTGACAATTGTTTGATAGCAATGTTATTATTTATTTATTTTAACACATGGATGTTGGTACAAGGAGGCACCAAGTACATATGCGCCACACAGAACTCATTGGATATGTGTGAGGGCTGTGATACTGCCAGGGTGCCCAAACCGAACAAGGTGGTTTTCTTAGGGGGCCACACCCCGAGCCTTTTACCTGAACGCCTGATCCACAAGGCAGTGGAGCATCGTGAGGAGATGCAGTCCCATGGTAGCCGGTGACCAAGAAATTGGTTCATACGCCATTTGTTCCTTCAGGATACTGGAGCCCATGTGTACCATTGATTTGGGATCCGGTTAAAGCGCCGGACATTCGCTTTTCGTCCTCTCATTTTCGTAAACAACACCCCTGCCATGAGAAGGCAGTGAGTAGGACTTCCCTGGCAGAGGCCGTATACGCCTGGCCATGTGAGAGCATTTCGAGAGGGAGAGCGGACTCTCCCCACTCTCGACCGTACCAGGGCATTTGGGGGCAATGACTAACTGTAATAGTTGTCTATCAATTTTTATTTTACTTTGAATGTGTTATTTCGCTCTGAAGAATCTCTTCCAGTAAGTCAGTATATTCAGTATATTGAAATCACAAACCGGTCTAATTTAGACAAACATTAAGAATCTGGAAGCACTGGATGGATGTTTCTTCTTAGTATTGTAGTGAAGGAGGACACAGGTGAGGACAAGCGATTATCTTTAGCACAAAATTACAGTTACTTGGTAAAATAGAAAAACCATACTCTAATACTTCATTTGCAAAATGCTCATTCATTCTCTCAGACTTCATTGTTCCTTCATTTTCATACCAATTACTTACTGTTCCCGTTACTCCTTTTTCAATCTCCTGCTGCCAGACATTCTATTCCTGGCTCGCGCTATATACTATTTATGTCGATATAAGTAACACATCACAGTATGAGAAACCCCAGCAGTGCTCATTCAAGACTACGCAACCGAGGATAGGATCCAGGTCCTTCGATCTCGCTCTCAAGTCTAACCTCTCAACCAATGACTCAGGATTCAGTGATGTACAACTATAACTCCAGCCAATCCACAATACTGCGCTACCATCTAACATTCCTTACACCCTACGCAGTTGAATTCCACTGGTCTCGATTTATCACTAGAACTCCGAAAAAATTTTTTGTAGCTAGTCACTAGCGAGCACATAATAACTATCAGTATGAGGTTGTGAAGATTGTTAAGTTTTATAACTGGACTACCTAATATACACCTATTTTTTTACAATCTATAATTCGTCCCATTCAGAATTATTTGTCTTAAGTGTAAAAACGTGCATAGATATTTCCACTTCATAAATTTTACGGAGTTTTTCTCTTAATTAAGATGTCTGTTCAAGCAAGTCATTCAAGTAACGAAGAACTTTGGAGGTAAGTGCATCTGTTCAAGTTGTTGCTCCATATCTTCACAGCAAGATGAAATTATCAAGTCTAATGCCAGAGCAGTAGAAATAGTAATAGTATCAGTGGTATTAGAAAAAAAAATAGGGATAAGTAATATAATCCGAGAAGAAACAATTAATTCTCAGAGTGATCTGACTTAATTTTGAACTTCAGGATTTTAGAGAAAACAGTAAATTAATCTGGACCATTTTGACCGATTCTGAACCATATATCACTCCATATATCCAACCAAACGAATATTGAATTAAATCTGAATCTTGGAAATTTATCTCAGAAAATGATGGATTAATCATAGTCAATACTCGGTGTATGATAGAAATGACTGATGCATAAGGGGACTCCTATTATATTTTTCAAGAATGTGTGAGAAAACTGCAGCAGTGACCACACTGGTTTCCATTCTGAGTCATATCAGTTAACATCTCAAGTTTCTGAGTTGGATGCTCGTTAGGAATCCATACAAGGAGTGGTGATGAGCCAGTAGGTGCTAGACGTATATTTTTCTTCCACATCACAGCACCATGTCATAAAGTGGCCACCTCTTTTCTTGTCTTCTCGGTTACAGTATCGACAATTAATGCGCGATATAAAAGCCACTGGTATGAGATTCTTAAAAAGTATCCAAGCTCTTGGCATTACACTAAGCTATCATAATGTTTGTATGTGAAATAAATGTTTAACTTTGGAACCCTCGCCCTACTTTTACATCCATTAGTCGATTCATTCGCCTGTTCAATTCATTTACGATATTATTTACATATTTTTAAAAAAGGCTCATTGATTTGAAAACTATGGCTGATCGTATTATTACAATGCGTCAGAGTTTAAGAAATAGTTTAATCAAGGCAGGATCTCATCATGATTGGTCACATATCACTAATCAAATTGGAATGTTCTGCTATTCTGGGCTTAATCCATCACAGGTGAGTTATTATTATTATTAATGTCTTAGAATTGATAGAGGGACATTCGAACTATCGAGTTAGAATAGACAGATAACATGCTGCTGTTTAATAATGTTAAAAACAACAGAATCTTTTGATCGTTTTGAGTAGCGATGCAAGTATGTTTGAAAGGGCCTTTTCTCTCCCCAAATGCGAAATGTTGCTTCAGCATGATCTGAGTCATCTAGGTCCATCATACTGCGGGGAAGTAGTTGAGTGCGTCGACCGATTTATTTATCCCTATGGATTGCGGAGGTTGCTATACTTAATTGAAATTGCGAACCTATATTAGTGTCCTCAAATGCCCTGGTACGGAAGAGTCCTCTCTCACTCTCGAAATGCTCTCACAGGGCTATGCGTATACAGCCACTGCCAGGGAAGTCCTACTCACTGCCTTCTCGTGGCGGTTGTGAATCCTGATCGCCTGAGATAGTTGAGCTACGTGTTACGTATGCCTGAACACCGATTACCACGACGCTCAATTCTGGAGACAGTTAGAAGAAAGTTAGGGACGGTCAAATCAAAACGTGGCATCAGTAGTTGAAGTCACTAACTTCAGTCTTAGCCATGTTAGTAGATGCAGACTACTTGGTTGGGGTCCGCGTGATTATCGTAACCAATGATTGGAGACTCTGGGTGACATGGCTCAGAATCGATCACAATGACTTTGGTGTATACACTCTCTATCTTCCCTTAAACTATGAGATTAAAATCTCTTTCTATCTTTCTTTTTACGAACTAATTCATTCTTCCTGTACTATATTCTTATATGCAATCTTTCTTTTATATATTACCACCGTTGAATTAACTACTTCTATGAATCCGGTGTTCATCTTGTTGGGCTAATGAAGTATGACAACTTGGACCGATGTATATATGTGCCTGGTCCAAGGTTGTAGCTGACTGACTTCTCGTGGCGGTGTTATTTACGAAATTGAGAGGAAGAGAAGCGAATATCCGGCGCTTTAACCAAGTTAATACACACGGAGGATCCACGTGAAGGGGTTGGAAAACCCTGATTCAAAACCGATGGTGTACATTGGTACAATGCATGAAGTGATATAGGAAATTCGTACTGATGTTAAAACAATATCAGTACAAAGATACGCGTAGAGTACTGACTTTGAGAGAACATTACTAGCCCAGAAAATTATAAAGTGGTTTTAATTTCCTGTATTGCAATGATTCCTATATAAGCATGCATATCTTTTTAAATTTTAGGTTGAAAAGCTAACTAGTGAATATTCTATTTATTTGACTAAAGATGGACGTATTAGTATTGCTGGCTTGTCATCTAAAAATGTCGAATACTTAGCTCATGCTATACACCAAGTTACTAAATAATAAGTGTTTTTTTCTTTCTGTTTGTTAATTTAAACACAATATGATGGATTTATTTCAATGATGTTTCAACGTTCTATTTTCGTCCATTTCTGATTTTTCTGTGTGTATGAATGGTAACATTTACCATTACTACACATATTTTTACTTGACTGATCATGTTTTTTGTTTTAAATATACGTGATCACTTTATTGTAAACCATCAGTGTTTAGCACTTACAAATAATTGTAATGCATTGTCTTCTGTCTGTATCTCCTATGTTGGGTTGAGGTTTGTTGCTCTTTTACATCTATATTCCTAAAATGTGTGTGTAAAAGTGGACAGTATTGTGTTTCATACATTTGGTCCCCTTTATCATCTTGAATAAAGCATAAGCAAAAAATTGAGCTCAATTCTTTGTTCTTGCTTGCTTATTATCATCATATTTAGAGGTTTTAAATTCCAAAGCATATAGGTTTATTGTCAAAAACAATTTACGAGTACTGAATGACTGAGTTCTAACGATCACCCACCACGGCTCAGGATGTTGGCTGGTGTAGAAGTAGGTTGGCAGAAAGCTGGGAGTGGGCAAATCAAGACATGAGATCAATCTACGAAATCACTGACTGAGCCATTTACACGAGTGCAAACTACTTGGTTGAGATTCCGCTTGATAACTGCAATTAGTGGTTGAGGACTTTGAGTGAAGACATGGCTCAAAATTAATCCCAACAGCGTTGATTCATGTACACTATATCTTATAAATCTTGATTTCCAGTATTCCTTCATACATATCACCTTCATTGTTTTCTCAAATTGCATTTTCAATATTTAATCTTCCCCACTATCATTTCCACTCCTTTCCTACTCGTCATGTTAATATGGTTGTGATAAGGAAATTGAGTTTACCCATATTTGTGTCAGGCTTTATGCCGATTATGAATAACCGACTGGTTTCTTGATCTGTAACTTTTTAAAAGTATATATGTGACAAAAGATGTAGAACATAAAAAGCTTTTTTATCAGAAGGGGTTTTGTGGAGATTGTAGTAATTTCAATGATTAAGATCATGAGTCAGTTGAAGCTAGACCACCATGGAAAACCTGGAAGCACTGGACGGCCGTTTCGTCCTATTACGGGACTCCTCAGCAGTGTGCATCCACGACCTCGCCCCCTGTGAGATTCGAACCCAGGATCTACTGGTTTCGCGCGCGAGCACTTAACCACTAGGCCACTGAGCCGGCATCCAACGGTGTTAATGTCTAACTTCAACTAATCCACGAAATTGAGCGACACATCCACCATTGTCTTCAGTGAGTTACTATCCCACAACAGACCTGGTTGAACTCCACTTAGTGGGTTTGTAGGTCCTTAAAATTTATCAGCATGTTCACTAAATATAACAATGTAGTCCACTCTAGTCGTTAAGATTGTTTAAATCCTCATAGCGTAATTTATTTTGATCGTATGTATGCAGTAGAGCGATGGCTCTGTAATAAGACGCTGATTAGATGGTAGTGACGTGAAAACCTTCCCCCTAACTTGTCTATCACCAATTTATTCTCCAGTTTTGTCATATCTGACTTTTCACTCATCACTGTGCCACTAATTCCAAGTTTCACTAAATTAATTTAATGCACCATTGTTTTATTTCAACCAATCATTGCATACAAAATTACTTTCTACTCTTCACTAATTAGTTGAGTTACTGACCATGTCGTCCAGTGATACTCTTTATATCGTCAATTAAACATATTGTGCATGTAATAGTTAACATATTCTCAAATGGAGTTTGTTTGCGTTTTGATCATCCTTTATAGGGTTAACATGTTAGCAAATGCCGTAATACAGACCAGTTTATGATTACATGGATAATATAGTTTGGACTGATGCAATGATGTGCATTTTAGACAATTTTCTCGATTGACCTTAATAAGAAATCATGACGTTTGATTATGGTTTTTGGGTGAGAATTGAAATGATTGCTGAAACCATCAGTAAGTTCATACGGTTTTGTATATTGTCATTGAATGCCCATCAGATTCCCAACTGATGCCAAATATAACAATGTTCACCACATATCACACTTTAATTAATGCTTACAAACTACTCATTAATGAAATTCTTATTATCTACTTTTCAAACGTTGAGCAACTGAAACAATTTCACCTTAAATGAAATGACAAATCTAGCTTTAACCTTAAAAATAGCAAAATTACAAGATAGAATTTCAAGCGTTAGTTTTCGATTATGTCGGCATATTTACCCAATTGCAACTCAATAAGCTTTTCCTATTACCGCAAAAGTTCATTCATTATTGCTGATAAGAAAATCCTAGTCAAAATATTCTGCATTGTGGAAATATTGGTACATAACATGAAAATAGACACACTCGCCCGACTGTTTAATAAAAACCTAGATATCAGTAACACGCAGTTCTACAATCGAAAATGTTACCAGTGAGTTATTTTTGCTGCGCCCAAACATCAGTATGTTGTGTCATTTAGAGCAGTGCATCAACACAGCAACTTGGTCGATAGGATTTAGTCAGCACTATTGCATTAGACAAACATGACATTGGTCATTGCTCAATGATTAATACTGTTATTAGATTAGCCCATCATATGTGATGCGTTCAGTTGTCTCTTTCCACTCACTGACAAATTACAGCTTAGATTGTCTAGATAAATTAGACTTAAATCCCACGAAGTTGTGTAATCGTATTATCGATAAACATTATTTGAAAGATCAAAACAACTGTTTGGTTGACTTTACTGTGGTGAATAAAAGACCAACATTGTGAAGTTCACAATGAACAAAATATCTGTACAAGATATATTTAATTACAATATTGTTTTTATGCAAACAAAAGTATACCGAAGACCAATTAAATACATGTCAAAAATTAAGCTAAGTAGTCATTTGTCTTGTCTTCTTCCGGATCTTCTTCTAACTCATCAGAATCCACATCAAGGTCTTGATCAATTTTATCATCATAATCTGAGTTAACCAAAACAGTATTTACCGGTTGATCATTAAATGACTGGTGATCACTATCTACTGGGTTATCTAATTGTCGATTACGTATCTGGCCTTTGTGACGTCGATTCACAAAGACTGCCACAGAAGCACACGAACTTTCACTATGATGAGACGAAGTTACTGAATCATCGGTGAAACTTTGTGATTCATCTGTATCCGACGTGTAAAAACAACTCTCTAGACGCACTTCAGGTTTTTGTAGATTTTCTTCAGTAAGACGAGCCCGTTTTTTACCTCGTGTTGGACGAAACAGTATTCGATTGTTATGACGTGGATTCGTTAAGCCGATCTCATCATCTTGTACAGTTTCTGTGCTGTTTCGAGATTGTCGGAGCTCATTTATTAAAGCCATAGCGAGTGAGTTATTACTAACATCAGGATCTTCATTAACATCAGCTAAACTATAATGTGTCCATTTACTAGGATCTCGATGTACATAGTTTGGTCGGCGATGTGTTGATGGTGGGAGGGCGTTAGGTTTTCGAAAAGTTGAATTTTGTGTCTGACATGTTGTTTTATGCTCTTTACCACTAGCTGTTTGAACATGATCACGCTAAAAATAAAATATAGCTTAAAAGGGAGAGAAAACATTTACAAATATCAAAAAATTATCTGTGGATTAAACAGTAAAATCTAGTTCGTTTTGATACAACAACCGAACTCAAGCAGTATTCATTCAAATAGATATATTCCAAAGCTTACTATTATATTTTAATACAAGATATTTGATCGCAATTAACACTTGACCGAATAATGATTCAACAAAAACACTGTATGAATGACCTAGTTTTTTTATTGACACATCGGATAGAGGGTTACACAGCTGAAATAATTATTCATTTTACACACTTCATATTTGTCTACTACGATTATAACTAAATAATAAAATCAACATCAAGTAATTTCTCATTGTTCATATAACACTGATTTTAGTCAAACAACCATTGAAAACCAAAAGGTACTAGATGGATGTTTAATACTCAGCATTGCGTATCTACAAATTCATCAGGGATCGAATTCAGAATATCCGGGTCTCATGGCAAATAATTAACCTTCCAAAAATAAGTTGGGATCAGATGCTTTACATATCTTAATTGAATTAATCTGTGATAATGCGTAACTGCCTCAAACTTAATATATAGTTGAACTCCATAGGTGATGGTTTCTCACTAACACTCCGAGTGCCTCTTGAAATCAATCACTAGCGGTGAGTACATAATTACAATTAGTGTCAGGGTGCAAGTCTTGTTTAATTTTATAGTTTACATCACGGACTGACCTTGGTCCGACGGCAATTGAAAGCGGGGTAATGACGGTCACAGTGATTTTACAACTCAAAGTGGGACGTTGCTAAGCCAAACAACATTAATGAGAACTTGCTAATGTTTTAATTCATTAGCTAAAATTCTAGTTTCTGTTCAGTTTAGGAACACAAATTATTGCAAAACACAAATACACAGACGAACGTTTGTGAAGTTCAAAACTCTGCATGGTTGGTTCATCGTATCATCATGGAGTTAGTCACAATCAACACAGTTGGCAACAAATTTACATTAATCCACGTTCCTATTAGCACAACGACATGAAATTAACAACACACACAGGATAAGAATTGAGCTAATCTCAGTGGCAATGAGAGACTGAACAGAAGAGAGTATGGAAAGACACTAAACTCAAGATTTAGAAGATAAGAAACCAATCTATCGACTATGTGCAATGGGTTATACGCTCTGGAACTCAGCCAGTCCCAAGAAATTGGTTACAATTATTTCACTGGCTCTAATTACATACCTGCCACCAAAGAAATTTAGATCAACAAGTCAATAACTAAACAGACCGATGCTTCCTTGGTTTGACAACAATTTTTCCCAAACCTATTCCTACTTTGATCTATCATCGCACATCAAGGTAAACAGAAGTAGAACACGAACATGTGTCTCAGCAACCTCAGATGACAAGGCTTTTTTGCTTAAAAAACTAACATAGTAGCATACGAATGTCCTCTACTTTTGAAGGTTATATGACACTAGACATTGAAGTGACGCGTAATATATTTACGCGGACGAATGTTTGACCCACACTATAGGTGGCGTTAGTTTGTAACAGCTAATGAGCAATAATAATATTATTATTAATGTACTTTGCGAGTTTCAGCAAAATTTTCAGACGACAAATATGCAGTGGAATTTCTTAGTTTAGTTTATATTACTTGATTGATTGGGATTAACTCAAAAAGTCAGACTGCAGATGTAAGAATTAAATTTTTATGGAGAATCTAAACTACCATGATAATTTGATAAATATTGAAAAATAGTAGTATAAAATGAATAAACCATGCACTGCTGACATGTATACCATAAGATTTACAGAT